AAAAAAAAAAGAAATTGGTAAGCCAGACTCAGAATAGTAATAGCTCAACAAATATTTCAAACTAAAGGTTATTAAAGGTAAAGAAGGTGCTCAAGAATCAATTGATTTCCATGAATCAAGACACAGTGGGAAAACTTTAGAACTCCATTAAAATAATAATAAAGCCTACTCTTAATTGTTCACTGTCTAGACATCATTCCCTGGGATTTACATACATTACCCCACTTTCGTTTTCACTAGATCTCCGTGAGGAACACACCCCAACTAATGAAAACACATACCCTAAAGCAGAAAACCTGGAGTCTGCCCTGCCTAGGCTGTATCAACCAAACCACATGATCAGCGTGGGAATGAAATAAATATTTATTGGCTGTAAGTCATTGAGATTTTGAGAGTATTTTATCACAGGAAAAAACATGGGTACTAACTATGTGCAAAGGAACATACCTATTCACAGCAGCAAAGGACTCGATGAGGTATCTACTAATCTGAAGCAAAGCCAGGTTTGATAGTCAGATGGCATGTGCAAAGTCTGAATGTAGTTGAGAGGATCACTGGTCCTGACCTTCTCCTTGTGGCCAATAAAATAGTATTTCAGCCAATATCAGCCAGTGATTCAGATTCCATGTGTGAGGCATTACAATAAAAGTCAAATCCTTATTTTTCTTTTCTCAGGAAAAAGTGGAAACAAAGTCTCTATTAATAGGGAGGGGTGGAGGGGTTCAAGGGAGGGCCGGGGAATGGGGGGAAATAAGAACCAAGGTACATCAGGTAAGAGCACAAGTTCCCAATGATGAATGTAACTGTATTGTATGCCTAAAATGTACCAATAAACTCAAGGGGAAAAACGAGTCAAGTCCTTATTTTCCACACAGACTGTCACACCATTTTTTTCTCTCATCCATAGGAAATGACAAAACTTGCTGTGAACATCTGTAGAGATAACATTTATTAAATATCTGACCATGTTTAGCCCAGAGCTGGCATTTGACAAGAAGTGTCTCTGCCTGAGGTAGTCGTGTCTATATATAGCACTCTGTAAGATCATCCCCAATATTAATTATCTATTTTAACAAGGAAGTTCTCTAGATCAGTAAAGTATAGACAGCCATAATATATGCACATTTCTGCTGAAAAATACATTTAACAATGGAATTGTATTTTAGGTCAGTTTTAAACTTTGATTTTTAGGGAGACATTACAATTCTTCCTTTTCTTTCTTTCTTTTTTTTTTTTTTTTTTGAGTGTATTGGTACATGTTAGGTATACAGTACAGTTACATTCATCATTGGGATCTTGCACCTTTACATTACAGGTCTTGGTTCTCAATTTTTCCCCTTGTCCCTGCCCTCCCTTCGTAGCTATTGTTATCAGACTCCACTTCCACTGTCCCCTACAAACACAAGCACACTGGTTAAGAAATAGTTGAGAGTATGAATTTTTGCAAGGAAGATTTTGACTTTACATGTAGGAATATGTCAATCCAAGATTATGCACACCCCTTTCTCCGTAAAGAAAGATGTGAAATTGAAGCAGTTACTCCTCTGGCAATGATAGTAAATAAATATTCTCATAGTAGAAACCCAAGATTCTTCTTCAAGATGTCAACTTCAAATGGATTATAAACATTTATTTAATTTCAATTTTATTGATTCACTGACTTGATTTCAACATTAAAAACTAACAAGGGCAGACTCTTATCTATTTTAATCAGTAGCTTGATAAAATGAAATGATGTATCACAGAGATAAAATGTGTGACCATAGGCCTCTGGTAACAAAAGTCAACCTTGTGGACCTAGTTCAGCAGTGTTTACCCCATGGACCTCTGCTAGGAGAAGCAAGGAAAACAGCAATATTGAGCTTTTCTTTCCCTGAGAGAACCTAGTGCTTGGTCTGTTATTCTTGAAGTAAAAATGCAAATTTTGGGGTTGTGAGAAGAGCAGCACTAGAATAGATACCTGACAGAGTTTGCTATCAATACACACTTTGATAAGCACTTTACAATAGTATTCAACTTATAATACTAAGAAATTAATATTATATCTTTCTGCAAATGAGTGCTTTTTCCTTGATTAACCAGGCACTTGATCTCATGTATGCTACACCAAAGACAGTTTTAAAAGAGTTTACTATTTTTTTCTTATTTATCCTTTCATCATTTTTTTCTTTCTATTCTAGTTAAAAAGAAATTTAGTTAAATGGGCCAGGGACTTAGTGTAGTGGTTACACTGCCTGCCTGGCAAGTGCAAGAACCCGAGTTCGATTCCTGGTACAAAAGAAAATTAGTTTAAAATTAATTGAAAAATATTGAATATATTCCAAGTATACATTGGAAAGGTTTGATCTAGATATTTATATTAATTTTATGTATATCAAATCATAATATTGTTTATGATCAAATTAACACATTCTTTACTTCCTATTGTTGTACATAAGATTCTTAGAATTTGTTCGTCTTACAACTTAAAGCTTTTACTTTTTAACCAAAGTCTCCCTTTCTCTCTCCCAGATCCTGGCAATCACCATTCTACTCTTGGCTTCAGCTTTGACATTTTAGGTTCCAAATACAAGTGAGATCATACTGCATGTGTGTTTCTGTGTCTGGCTTATTTTGTCTAATATAAAATCTTCCAGGTTCATTCATATTTTCACAAATAGGAGGATTTCTTCCTTTTGAAACCTGAAAAATAGTATTCCTTTGTGTGTATATATGTATACATATGTATATATATACACAACAATGTCTTCATCCATCCTTCAACCACTTATGATGGGTGCTTAAGTTGTTATCTATTGTGCATAATGATACAATGAACACAAGTGTTCAGATATCTCTCTGAGAAACTGACATAATTTTCTTGATTGCTGGATCATATAGTAGTTCCTTTTTAAATTTTTTGAGGACTCTCCGTATGGCTTTTGTTTCCATAATGACTATTTCAATTTACATTTGGACCAAGTGTATATAAAGGTTCCATTTTCTCCACACCCTTACCAATATTCTTTATCTCTTGTCTTTTTGATAATAGTCATCTTAGTAGGCATGAAATGAGAACTCATTGTGGTTCTGATTTCGATTTCTCTTAAGCATATACTTAATGGATGTCTATGAACCACTGTAAGTACCCTTTGGGGAAAAAACATCCATTCAGGTTCTTAGTCTATTTTTAATCGTTTTTTTTTATGCCATTAAATTGTGTATCTTATATATTTTAAATATGAAGCCTTTATCACGTGTACAGTTTTCAAATAATTTCTCCCATTCTTTGGACTACCTTTACTTTTTGTTAATTATTTCCTTTCCTTTGCAAATGTGAAATCTGAAACAATAAAATACCTAAGATAAAATATAGGATAAACTAGTGGTGTATTTAAATGGTAAAGAATATACTTAATATGTACAAATCCCTGGGTTCAGTCCCTTCTGTGAATCAGACAGGTGCACATGTGTGCCAGTGCATGAGCACACACACACACACACACACACACACACGCACACACCTCATGGGAGAGAAATTCCTTGTCATTAGTTTTAGCAATGATTTTTTGGCTATTGCTCCAAAAGTTAAGGCAATAGACACAAAGATAAGTAAGCTGGACTACATCAAGGCCTTCATTCAACCCCAGGTATAAGTCCAGCAAAAGTCCTGCTGTCATGGAAATTGTATTCTAAGAGACATGAAGGAGACAGACAGCAAATGAATAAACAGCAAACACATTCAGGTAATAAATGCTTCCAAGAAGAATATTGTCTGGTCAAAAGTAACAGAGATATAGTAGACAGGTGATGCTATTTTTAAAGGACACGTCAGTGAAAGCATTGTAGACAAAATGAAAACTGAACACCAACTAAGGAAAGTGTTCCCACAGCCATGTAGACATCTGGACTAAGATCAGTCAGGCAGGGAAAATAGCAAGTGGAAAAGAACAAAGGCAGCACCGTGTATGACAGTTTATGAAATAGCATGGGATCCTGAAGGGACAGGAGTAGCAAGAGATGAGGTTCCAGAGGGAGTGGGAGGCAGATTATAGTATGTCACCATTGCAGGGACTTAGTTGTGAGTGCGGGAGACATCACTGGTAGGTCATGGCATCATCTGACTTATGTCCCCAAAAGTGCACCCCAGCCTTGGTACAGAATAAGAGGTTAAATACAGAGGTAGGGAACCTAGTTTGGAAGCTACTACAAAGAACCTGGTGAGAAATAGTAATGGCTTGTATCACTGTGATCGCTGTGAAGAAACCTGAGAGGGGGGGAAATAACGGTAGACTTCAGTGATAGATTTGACACAGAGTCCAAGAAAAAGGTAGAATGGAGAGATTTATCTGCATAGTGAGGCATAACAACAGAATTAAGTAACTTAAATCTAGAATAGTACATCTATGGTATAAAAAAATGACTTAATGCAAAAATACCTAGACAGCTGAGGACAGGGAAGGGATGACTGATGGGAAAGGAGGCGAAGAGTAGGATGAAGACATGGGAGAAAAAGACACTGACAACGTGATTTTTGCTAATATTGAATTTGAAGATAGGGTGGTAATTTCTTAGACGGTCCTTTCAAATTTTTCAATAGACCCCATTTATTTAGAACTCAGTGAAAAATTAGAACGAACTTTAGAGACTGAAGTAAATCAGATCTCATAATTCCAAATCAAAGACAGATAAAACAAAGAAGAGGTGAAGATTCTTCTTTCTCTCTTTCTTTCTTCCATTCTCAGAAGCAGGATCAGCTGGCAGTGGGCATGGTGTGCACTGGCTCCTAAAACCTGATCCTGTGGATGTCTGCAATGATAAAGCAACGAGCACATGTCAATGTACGCCTCTAGGGGCTACAAAACATTAACAGCAATATTTTATTATAAAGCATCACTGATCACAAACCTTTGTTTTTCACTGTGGGTATATATATGTAACATTTATAACTCATCTGAAATCATTTGGAGGCCACCATCATGACAAGGCCATTCAGATCATAGGGAACAGGATTAGAAAATTAGATGGCATCATAAAACCATAGGACTGCTTTACATTTGTGGCTCTAAAATTACCTCCCAACACATCAGGAGCAAAAAACAATCAAGACAATTAGCCAGGCTCCTAGTATATCTTATTTAAGTATAGCTCTCTTGTGGACACATAAATTAATGAATTATTTAATAAGCCTTTCATAATGTTATAAGTTTCGTAAGATATTGCACTGCAGGGAGATAAATTAATTAGTCAAGGCTCTTCTTTATTTTGTTTCTTGATTCATATTGACCAATAGTTTTAAAACTGTATAAATGAGCTTGGTAATTACTGAAATGTCTGAGGATTCACGTACAGTCTTCGGTTTTTGGTTTGTTTGTTTTTTAATTCATCCTAAAAAAAGATTTACGAAAAACAAACAACATGAACAAAAAACAGATACAGTTACAACCGAACTGAGAATTTGTTTTTCCCTCTTCATAATATGAATGTTCCTCCCCTCTGTCGTATATTTTTCTCTTTATTTTCCTGAGAGAAAAGAGTGTCAAGAAAACACATTACTCAAAATGAGCCTAAGACCGAAAGCAAATGATAAAATCAAGTGATAGGTTACAAATGAGGAAAGGCTCCAGAAAACGAAATATCAAATGACAACGAAGATGCGGCGAATGTGCCGGAGCAGATGAAAAGGAAAGGCGGTAGAAGAAAGACGTACAGATTCAATCACAGACAAGCCTGAAAATTAAATGTTCCTCACAAAACTGGGTTTGCAGACAGATAAAAAGGAACTAGGAACTGCAGACAGGAAGGAATAAATAACACAGCTTATTCCTCCACAGAGTGCAACTCGGGCTTAGACAGAAGGGACCGTCAATTTAGCTTATCCACTCCCATTTCGGCACAAGGAAACAAGCCGACAAGGCCTGCAGTCACAATACCAAGTTGCCATTTGCATCTCAAAATAGAATTAATATATAAGAAGGTCTCTGGAACTAGAAACAGGGGACCTACAATCTACGTCCAGATCTTTTACAACTCTGCTGCCTTGAGGAAGCCTCTGAATCTCAGCCCCATCATCTATAAAATGGAAGGATAAGGCCAAAGGATTCCCTCCAGATCTAATATTTAATGACTTACACAAGAACTACCATTAAATTATCTTTTTTGATCCTGGATGCTAGCAGGAGAGATAAATCATCTTCAAATAGCTTGATAAATCTTTTTGTGTTTTCTTCACTTAGTACTGGGGAGTAGTATTTAAAAGTGTTTCAAATATATGTTTATTATCTTATTAACTTGCCCATCTTTCAGATCTCATGATTTATTTAATCCTTTCAGTCTGGAAATATCCATAAAGAAACTATGATAAATTTCCCTTGCAATTCTTTAGGATAGTGTCATAGGATGTACATAAAGAATTGTCATGAATAAGAGAATTATTGGTGAAATATCAGAGTGTATTATACATATAATATATTTAAAAGAAGGCTGGTACCAAAATCATCTGTAAATATCTAATGTTTATTTCATACCAAAATTATCAAAGTTTTATAAAGATCCACCTTTCTTAGGTTTCAAATATACTCTATTTTAGAAAAAATTTAGTTTACATGTAACTATTCTTTTCCATCAGTTACTATAAAAAGTCATTTTCCATCCACATATTTCAATAAAATTGTTTATACCTGTCTCCTGAAAGCATTTATTTTTAAAAGATGGTAATTTGTTTATATTACTAAAACTCTCACAAACATAAAATAATGCAGCAGTAGAGTAAAAAAATGATCTCGAAATACTATAAAATTTTCGTTAAATAGCTATGGTATTATTTGACAATTATTTCAGGACAAAATATATTAGTAAACTCAAGCACTCACAAGAGGCAAACTCCCTCTTCTTAGATATACACTAACCATCACCTTATAATTTATTGAAGTATTCATATGGTGCATATAAATTGCTATATACAGAACAGTTCATAGGTGAACAACAGTTAAGTATTTGCATGGATATAGGAAAAAATATGACTCCAAACCTGCTAGATGTCAGGTACAGAGTTCATGTCCCCCGAAATGGAAGAATGAATTTTAAGGAACATTGGAAGTTAAGAGTAGGAAATATTTAATAATAAATAGTTCTTGACAGACAAAAGGGGACCCAAAAGTGGGTTGCCACTAAGGCCCTTTGTCAGCGGTGGTTTATGCAGCAAAGTCACAAAGTGGGTAGAATGTGGGTTAAACTATAATCAACCTATAATATTCCAAGTATATCTGCATAGCTAATATTGGTATGATAGGGAAACAGGACACATAGCAAGGGTACATGGAGAGCACAAAGGCATTTTCAGGAAGGGATAGGTCCTAGTGCCACCTAGGCAACTGATGCCTATCTAGACTTCCTGGATTAGGTGGTGCCACTTGCAGTATAATTCCAAGTTACTGCTTATCCCCTAGAAGGCATGCAGGCCTGGCCACTGTATCTTTATCTTGAGGCCTTGAATGCTTGAGAGACACCTCCAACCACAATTCTGATATCTTTATTTTTTTACTCATATGCCTGAGAGCTCAGTCCCTCTTTGACTGAACATTAATTTCTGTCTAAATCAGCTGCTTATAATAGTGTCACCCTTAAACACTGAGTGTATTAGAAATGTCATAACTTAAAGTAAAGTTTCTTCTATCAGGAATATTCACCTATTACCATCACTATACCATTTAATTCAAGTAAGCCAGACAAAGGACATTTTAAGTATTACTTCCTTTAAATTTCAGGAATAACTATCTGCTCTTCAGACATTATTGATCTTTAAAATCTAATCAAATACAACAGCTATAGGAAAGTGATCAAATGAAATAATCCTAACTGGTGCAAATAATGATGCAAAAACTATATACATTTTAGCATTTTGTATACAGTTTTTTTAAAAATTTCAAGAAAATCATATATCAAAAACTAAAACAGATCAAAATACATGTAATATTCATACTCTGTATACTATATAAAAGTTTTTGTCTCAGGATATTTAAAAAAGATGTTCACAACCCAAAAGATATCCAGAAAAATAATGCTTAAGGGAACAAGAAATTGCAAGTATATGAAAAGCATTATTGCATTGTTGTTTTCCTTCAAATTCCATGTAAAACAGAACATGGGAAGAGTACAAAGCAAAGTGTGAATAGAGGTTACACAATGTGAAATTATAGCTGCTCTTTTTTCTTCATAGCATAAAACATGATTTTTATAAAGACACAACATTTCAAATGAAATAATAAAAATAATTTGATTTATCTGCTAAACTGGCTGAACAAATTTCTGCTCTCAAGCAAAATGGCATTAAAGTTAACAAAGTGCCCTTAAGGTTAGATGACTTTGAATCCAATACCAACACCACTAACTCTTAGGATAACATTGGTCACATAAGTTCACCACTCTAGCTCAACTTCCCCATCTACAAAGAAAGGACACTCTGTTATCTCAAGATGGTCAGTAAAAACTTTCTAGATGCAATCGTCATTGGGAAGCCAAATTCTAATGCATTCAGGAACTAGCAACATTCCTGCCTTCTTTGTGTCTTCAATGAAAAATTTCAGACAAGACACAGAGACATTTTTACATAGTATAGGAGAGTGTTTATTGTAAAGTAATAGAGTTTCAGAGCAAAAGACAAAGAGATTACACTTTCGAGCATGAAACCTACATGCACTAAGGTAGCAGTTATGCAGAATAAAGCTCAGACTAAATTGATGACCTTACACGGGTCTTTATGGAATATCATTTCCTTTCTCAGAAATCATTTTGCTTTACAAGGGAAATGGGGTTGTTTTACAGGACTTCAGAGGGTTCCTGTTGACTCTAGGTGGAATGTTTCCATTTGGTTTGCGCAGAGACCTTGAGGCCCTTTCCAAAAACCTCATCTCTCTGGAATTCGTGTGGCCCTGGACCTAATCAGCACTCTCACAGGATGTTACGTTCTTTTGGAACACAGTTTAAAATCTTAAGCCTCTTCGGGCTTTATCTACATCTAATGATTAAAACAAAGGAATAAAAGGAGAAAAATCATTCTTTGTTTTTCAAGTCTCACTTGCTTATGTAGCCCCCAGCTGCCCGTGTTCCTGCTTAACATTATGGCATCGACTCACATATTCAATAATTGTAATTCATAAATGTTGTGTCCTGTCTGCTTGCATGTTCCTCTTCTATAGATCGCAATCATTTATTCATTAGACTTCTTTTCTCCAAGACAGGTAGAGCAGCTCAAACATCATCTTCGTAAAACAAAAGCAAACTTTGTATTTTACTTTCAATATTTTATACCTTTCACAGGAAAAAAAGTCAACTTCAAATAGACTGAAAAAATTGAAGTGATATACCTCTAGCTTGATAAGTCCTTCCCCTTCAACACTGCATTGATATTAAATATTTAAAACCTGGAGAACTATTTTCATATAATCAAATGAAAATAAGGGTGACTAAGTAAAAGCCCAGTGCAGACCAATTTAGGGATTTGATAACAGAGATCAGAAAGGAGCAGAGCAGATGAACACTTCAACGTGTCATACAGTCTCGAGGTTTTATAGGATTTAGAGCCACGTGTGTAGGTCACCTTCCTTGCCATCACTTTACTTAAATGGGGAGAATTAAAATATAACATGTCTAAAAAATGGGAAAAGCACAAAATGGCAGCACCCTATGTTTCTGCACCGGTGCCAACGCCATTGCAGTGGACATGAGCTTTTCCAAATTACAGTTTTCTCAACTCTTTACTGAAACTAAGGATGATGCAGATTTCACAAGATTCCAGGGCACCATAAAAG